TAACCATAATAAGAGATTCAACGGCATAGAGAATAGTGTTGCATATGTATTGTGTGTTGCCTAACCAATTTTACTTTAATCTCATTACATTTCAGTCCGACCGACCCACGCATTCCGGAGATATTTAAACGCTCCAGAAACCCTATATTTGGAGTGGAAGCCAACAGTCATTACTGTCTATTCAATAGACGCCAACTAAACAGGAAAATACCAATGTAATTAACAATAGGTACTGAATCGTTGCTGTTTTCTTTTATACGTAAGTAATGTTTTCTAATTATATCATGTCCACATTTTATACAGCCAATAAGAAAGAAAATTAAATGTGACAACCGCGCAAATATTTTAAACCGAAATTCTATAAAGAATTCTGTAAATTTGCAATACGCGCCAATATTTAAAGAGGCGGTTAGTTCTGGCCACCTCTACGCGAGGGCCCGCTTTTGGAATCCTAGCGGGCGAGTTCTTATAGCCAACACGCGTTTATACCATTGCGCTGTATCTCTTATTATGGGTACTCTTTGGTATTACTGACAGTATCTTCGATATTATCTAGTATTATTTGGAGCTATTTTATATTATCAGGTATTATTGGTATTATCTGGTATTCTTGAGTAATCTTTAGTATTATTTGGTATTATGGTATTATAAACAAAATAATACCTTTTTTTTTATTATGGTGTACACAATTTGAGCTTGTAAGCCACCCCTCGATGAGCTCTGAACAACGACTAATGAGATATTACTAGATTATTAACACGGGTATTCAATAGATCTCTCCACGATTGAACTGAGTGCGATGTCGAACCTCTGTGGTTATCCTCAGACACTGCTATGGGTTTGGATAAGATAAGGACAACAACATGAGGTGACAAGGTAAAAAGTGAATCTTCTTTTATGTTCTATAAAGAGAAACTTTATCCATTCACACCTTCTAAGATATAAGAGATGGCATGTATTGCTTTTCAACAACAATGTCAAACCAACATTAGTGTACTGTCGTTTTAAAAATCTATGGATTGATCCCAAATTCCGGACAGATATCCAAAGGTTTCTTTAGCTCTTGAATTCTTGGTTATCAAGCTCACTCAAAAAGAACGAGAGAGGGGAGATTTTTTGACCGATCGCCTTATATAGAAAGAGCTCCAAATTAATGAGCAAATTTAATAAGAATTAGGGGCTATGACACTAAGCGAGCTTCAAAAAAACATACTATCTCGACTTGATTATGTCCAAAGTGACTATACACGGTGTTATATGACCGAATGCAAAACAAAAATTGGGTAATAGAGGGGATCAAGACAAACACTTTTTCCAAATAAACCGATGAATAAAACAGATATTAAGAACTACCGGCCAATATCACTACTATCAGTAATATCAAAAATAATTGAATCTGCTATGAAAACTCGCTTATCTCAATATATTCAAAAAAAAAGTTACTCGCAGAAAAACAATTTGGTTTCCAAAAAAATAAAAATACCTCAGCTGCAGTAGGGAATTTCATGCAGGATATCTTCGATTTTATGTCTCTGAGACAGTTCACTATAGGGATTTTCTGCGACCTTTCAAAAGCCTTCGATTGTGTTTCGCATGAGCTGTTACTACAAAAACTTGAAAAGCTTGGGGTCAGAGGAGTGGCGAAACTGTGGTTTACTTCCTACCTTGAAAATAGACAACAATTGTGTGAAATTAAATATTTAACAAATATTGGCATCATTGATACCTTCCAGTCCGGATACAGAACGGTTAAATGTGGTGTTCCGCAAGGAAGCGTACTTGGTCCACTTCTATTCCTAATGTATATCAACGTCTTAGTTGCTTCATTCCCCACTGTTAAATTTACCTTATTTGCAGATGACACTTCCCTGATCATTCACAACGCTTGCTATAACACACTCTTATTACACGCTAACCATATCATTGGACAAATTAACAATTGGATGAATCATCATAAGCTGTTCTTAAATATCAACAAGTCATGCTACATCTTTTTTCATTCATCGAATGTACAAATCAACTGTCCCGATATAACTGTAGATAACAATCACATTAAACCGGTCTCATGCACCAAATTTCTTGGCATTACAATTGACTATGTACCTTCTCTTGGGCACCGCATATAGAAGACCTTTGCTTCAAACTAGCTAAGTCGATTTTTCTTATTAAAAGCGTAAAGGATATATTGGGTACTAAAACGACTAAGCAAGTGTATCACGCCTGCTTCGAAAGTCTTCTCTTACGGTATTGAGATTTGGGGTAGTAGTGTTCATGTACATAAGGCGTTTAAATTGCAAAAGCGAGCGATTCGCACGATTCTCAATATGAACCGTTTAGATTCTTGCAGAGGAAAGTTTTGTTTCATGCAACTGTTTACATTAACAAATCTCTACATTTTTAGAATATCTTCGTTTACCTAAGGTACATAGTACTCAATTACAAAATTTTCCAATATACCAGGGCCTTAAAATATTCAATAAGTTGCCGTCACATATTACAAATTTACAGTCTATGAATAAATTCAAAAGCAAACTTAAATCGTGGCTAAAACAAAATAAGTTTTATTCACTGGATGAGTTTTTTTCAAGTACAAACGGTTAATATAATTCCTTATTTTTTATTTTTGTGTAATTATTTCCATTTAGTTCATTTAATATTCTATTTTGAAGCTTATATATATAATATGGTTTGGCTGTTTTGCATATTAATTTTTGTTTGTTTGTAAATATACTACTTGTAAAACAGTGGAGGAATAAATATTATTATTATTATGATCCAACGTGTTTCGTTTGGGAGCCACCCCCACAAAAGTGGCGAAATTTGCGTTTCTTTTTAAATTTTTTTCTCAGCAACCATAAGACTTAGAAAGACTGGTGGCACGTCTTTGAATAGGTTTTCGGGTATGCCCTTGCCGATTTTGCAAAAAAATTCAGATTTCGACGAAATTTGGTATCTGGAGGTTATTAAACATGAAACTCACGAATCTGAATGTAGTTTTTGAAAATTCGAAAAAAAAATTCCACCGCCATGGAGAGAATTCCACGAAATTCGTTGTGTATATACTTGATGAGTTAAGGAACAAAATTGTCGAACAGTTTTTTAAAATCACTTTTCAAACAAAAGTTATACTCATTTGAATATTGGGGCTTCTGGTCACAAAGTGTCTCCGTCTGTTTGTTAGTGATCTAATTTTGCATGTAGTGAATTGAAAATATCGCAAATAACAAAAAATTAACGATTTAAGTCGATATTATATCTATCTCCCCCCCCCCCTCGTTATCAGCAGCACTTCAAAAACGCCTCGTGAGAAGGGGTTCTAAGGGCCTTTTCACACGGACCACTGTTTGGCGCTGCTGAGGGGGCTATATTTTGTTTGCCACCAACCAACAGATCAGGTGTAGGTATTCAGTTCACAATGCGTAGTGGAAGTGTAGAATTGTTTTACACTCATTAGTGGACGACTCGAATAAGCACTGTTTCAATCGGTTGTAGAGAGATTTGGAACAAGACGATGAAACATTTTTTAGCTACTTTTGAATGTCGAGAAATTGTTTTATGAAATGAAATCTAAAACACTCAGTTGCGCCACAAAGTGGTCCGTGTAAAAAGGCTCAAGGGTCTAAGTGGTTCACACGGCACACGTTTGCTGGTTATTTTAAAATTTACAGTAAACTATTTAACTATTAGCAATTTAAGTACTGTAACCGCTTACTAGTTTGCAAAGGAAAGGAATTGAGATTTTGTTTTAAGTGTACGTTTGGACTAAATTGCTAATTGTACTACTGAATTGTTTGATTCTCTTGCATTACTATCTAACGTAACTAGTGATTGTAATTATTTGAACGACATTGTACATAATATAACCATGCTTTGAATTTATTACGGAGACACTTACATTTCATAAAATTAATATATGTCATTAAAACGGTTCATGTTATACAGTAATTGAAAATTAAAGAAGTGGTTTAATTAAAATTTAATTGCAACTGTGGAACTTGTAGTTTGAACTAAATTTAACTGTGCGTTATTAAAATTACATGTTACTTTCCACTCATTTTCTACCGTGTAAGTGGCCGCTTTGATGTGTCAACCTTAAAATGTGTGTTTGTAAAAAAGAACTCCCCGAGTTGATACTATTAATGGGGAAATTTCCAAAATTTCACTTGAAATACTTCAGAAGGAAAAAGTGTAAAGCTTTTACTTTTTATTATTTAGGATTGAACTTTTTAAAAAATTTACGACTCGGATAATTGCCAGCTGTTAATGTTTGAAATTTAATTTCCCAAATGTTTCAAACTGAAACTCAAGGGCAAAGTTGTAGGAACTATAAAGTCGCTCGTAAATTAATAATTTTATGGATGTAAATATAAATATAATTGTTTGTTTCGTTACAAATTCGGTCATTAATTTTTTATGTTGTGCTCCCAACCTGAGAACTTAAGGAAATCCGTATTATTAACAATCCTTCCGTCATGTCACAAATTTTCTGTCGGTTTTCGAGCCTCGCTATTGGTTAGATTGCACGATCGCGAACGACATCACTTGCCACGGACGAATTGCTTTCATTGGAAGCTTCCCCAGTAAACAATTTTGTGACATTAACCTCGCAGTTACATAATTTTGGCAGCACAATTTTACGTTAAGTTTGTACGTAGCTGCTATACGGGTGAGACGATTCTGATTTAACCAATAAAGTAACGTTTACATAAATATTACATTTATATAACTCTAACGTAAATACAGGCGTTCGTGCGATGTATTATAATGTTACGTTTAACGTAAACGATATGCACATCAACATATCGTAATGTTAACTTGGCGTTACTTGTGATGAGAAATATAACATAAACTCATAATAACATGTGTGTTAAACAGACGTAAATGCGATGCACAGAATTTTCTGTTCTTACCAAGGTGAACTTGGAAGTCGCCATGTCGATGTTTATTTACTATTTTAAATTTAGCGCCAATATCTTTAGTAACTTTTGTTCGGTATCGGTGGTGTGGTATGGATGGTAAGTATCTGAGGTTAGCGGGTGGAAAAATGGCTGCTTTGTGAGCTTGTTCACTTTTCGCGGTAGTTTGTGTGCTGATTGCTTCAGTTTTTTAACGTTGTGATTTACTTTTGTGTAAAAATCAGGAAAGTATTTAGTTTTATCGTTATTATTCATTGTTGTATAAAAACGACGAATTGGGCTGATATCCTTATATTCATTGTGGGTTCATAGCTGGAACATGCTGGCGAAGTCTGTAATAATTTTTTTCCAACCATGAAATATTTATATACCATTTACTTGTAAAATAATTAGACAATGGATAATATTTTTCACAATGTGTAATGTGTTTCTTTATACAGGGTGTTAATGTGACTATGTTACAACGCTTTAGGGCAGAAAGGGGAGCTCATATCTGATCTTTTTTGCCAATAAACTTATAGTCGGAGATGCCTCTTCTTAGAGATACACGCCTACCAATATTTAAGAAATAGACCTGCACGGTCACCAGATCTTACCCCTTTAGATTTTTATTTGTGGGGGCACATGAAAAGTCTGGTATATGAAACTCCTGTAGAGTCCGAGGAAGATCTGGTGGCCAGAATTACTGTTGCATCAAACATCATCCAGGACACTCCAGGCACATTTGGCAAGATCAATTTTAATATGCTACGCCGATATAATACGTGCATTGAATGTCGTGGTCAAAATTTTGAGCACCTCTTATAAGTTTGACATTAGTTTTTCATTTGTTTTTTGTGTCATATCATAGGAAGTATGATTTTAAATAAAGTTTTGTTCAAACCCAATAAACTATTTCTTAAATATTGGTAGGCGTGTATCTCTAAGAGGAGGCATCTCCGACTATAAGTTTATTGGCAAAAATGATCAGATATGAGCTCCCCTTTCTACCCTAAAGCGTTGTAACATAGTCATTAACACCCTGTATAAAGTACCATATGCCACAAATTTCTCTTCGGCATGGTAATTAGCTGTTAGTACTCGAAGGTGCATAAACCTTTAGTCAAATATTTGTAATTGCCAAACCTCTCATCTTTTTCTTTTCATTATTTATTTCAGATTTCATACATGAAGAATATTGGCGGTCACGACCCAAAGGACAACATTAACCGATGTCTATCCCGTGTTTTTACTAACAATTTAGGGGTACAGTGCTCCTGGATGGGCCACAGAGGCAATTTCAAGGTTCAAAACCTCACGATCATGAACGCTATTATTGGTAAGACGGCACATTTCAAATTTTACGATTAACAATTATAATTGACTAGATATTAGTAGTAGTGTTTTTGTAAGCCTTAGTTTATTGTAAAAAAATTAATCCCACATTTATTTCAATTAAGATTACTGATTCATATTTTGTTTGTTTAGAAGTGGTAATGCTGCGCTACAATAGCTTAATTCAACTCAGCGATCTTGAGCGAAATGTGGGAGAATGGTTTCGTCTTAGCAAACAAAGACTGCAGCGAGGCAAGGAAAAGGATAAGGAAAATGTCAACAATTCGTAGTATACGTTTGTCCTGAAGCAATATTTAAGAATTCATTTTATTTATTTTCCTGTTGATTGTTGTTTTTTATAAATTGTATTTTTTTATATTAATATGGTATTTTATGTTATCAAAAATCTCTAAACCTTCCCCATATAGTTTTATTCGTTGAAGTTTTTAAAAATAACAGCGACTATAGTTTCGGCGTACTGCCATCATCAGGCGACTAGAAGTGTTAAAAATAACAGCGACTATAGTTTCGGCGTACTGCCATCATCAGGCGACTAGAAGTGTTAAAAATAACAGCGACTATAGTTTCGGCGTACTGCCATCATCAGGCGACTTCTAGTCGCAATTCCTAATGTATGATTCAGAAGCTAGACTTCCTTCTGGTCGGATATTAATTTTTTCCACACAATCAAATCTATTACTGTTGGCGGAGAGCAGAGAGTGGTTTGCGGATGGGACTTTCAGCACGGCACTGCTCTTTTTGCACAGATTTAGATGTTGTGCGATATAACATAGTGATTCCTGTGGTGTACGCTCTCCTCCCGAACAAAACACGCGCATCGTACGTTAAGCTCCTTCAAGAACTTAAGCGTATTCAGGTGGGCCTGCAACCTATGCAATTGATGACTGATTTCGAGCACGCCGCGATGCAAGCTTTTCAGCAGGAATTTCCAGAAACCAATAGAAGTGGTTGTTTTTTTCATCTCACTCAATCCGTTTGGAGGAAAGTGCAGGAGCAAGGTTTAAAGGCAAGGACGGACATTTTTCAGTCAGTATGACTATAATAAATTGAAATCATCTCTTGTTAGGTTCGCTACGAACAAGATTACCAATTTGCTCGTTGGGTACGCATGATTCCGGCATTAGCATTTCTTCGTCCTGAGAATGTGTCCGACGCTTTTGAAGACTTAAACCGGAGACGAAGAATTTCCCGAAGATACCATTGTAATAGTGAATAACTTTGAAGACACATACATTGGCCGAAGACAAAGACGAGGGCGACAAAATCCGCAATTTCCAATTCCACTGTGGAACATGTACCAATGAACAATTAATAGGCAGCATCGTACGAACAACGATGTCGAAGGTTGGCATAGAAGTTTCCAGGAAACTTGTGGGTCACTTTTTCCACATATTTACCGGTTTGTAAAATGCTTGAAAGCACAACAAGGGATTCATAATTATGAGATACTCCAGTTAATCGCTGGTAACCCCGGAAATCCACGAAACAAGAAATATGCAGCAATTTCAGCCAGGGTTAAAGCGCTTTGCGAAGACATAGACAATCGTGGAGTGATAGATTTTTTACGCGGCATAGCTTATAACTATGAATTTTAAAAACTACATCTTTCGTATATATTACATTTTTTATATCATTATAGTAAATAAATGAATTGAAAATCGCTTAAGGTGTGTCGTAGTTTTCACCTTTTTTTAAATATTTTATACCTCTGAGATGTGATGATTGAGGTATTCCAGGGATAAAACGTGGGAGGATGAACTTTCCGGGTACGGGATGTAACGGAACGAAGTTTCCCGGGGACAACATGTGAGATACGAACGTTCCCTCTGCTCACCATAAACCACTCAACACTTCACAGTTCAAACCGTATCAAAATGCGTAGTTACATTAAGTTTAAATCGAAACCGTAAAAAGAACACTATGTATTAGTCATTGACACAGTATGTAAGAAAAGGTAACTGCAAAACATAAAATATGTCATCTGGTTGTTCGGAGGAATAAGCCGAACAATGAACCAAAGGTTTGGTGTTTGGTTGATTATCGTGACCAGGACACATAGCTTGTGCTTATGCAACAATATATAAAGAGCGACTCGTACATATGCTCCGATCAATGGGCGAGTCGGTGATGTTTTTTCAGGTCACGACATGGTAAACCACAGTGTGCAGTTAACCCACCAAGAGACGAAGATCCGGTTTGGGTTCCTGAAGGAAGGTTCCACGTCAACTGTTTAGACCACCTCCACGACCTTTATCTTTCAGGATCCACACCAACCGAACAGAGAGATCGTGGCGTGACTTGAAGGAACAGCTCTGAACACTCAACACCCTGGACCTCTGCGACGCATACATCGGGGAGTGTATGTACAGAAGAAATGTGTTAGATGGAGATATCGACACAAGTGCACGTTTCGAGCGGTTTCTTCGTGACATTGCACGAACATATCCCGATTCCCGGTGTGGGACTGGGACCAATTGTCGCCGTTTTAGACGAGTGCGAATGCGTGCCGCCATAATGGGGTTCTTGGGACGATGATAACCTAACTGCATTTGCTGTTTCTATCCATATATCATACTGGTACTCCTACAATCTCCACTTTATACAGTACCATATAGCGGGCAGCTAGAAAACGCCGATAATCCCATTTTTTTTAAATGATAAATATGTATCATTACAATGAAATTTTGTAGCTGGATTCATATTTGTAGATCGGAGTTCGAGAATTGGCAATGTAGGCCAAACAAAAGGGAAGGCACGACATCTCCGTTAGTTATGACACGAATTGCATGGGGGAGTGTAAAGCCTGTATATACATTTTGGGACATATTATCGTAGACACCCCAGAGCCCTACTCTAACCGAGACCTTAGCCGTAAAGAAAAATATGGACATCAAATACCCAAAATTAACTACATTTCTGAAACGCCAGAATGTAAGTTACATACCAACACACGTACGTTTTCATGGAAACTACTTTACCTCCCGTAGGGAGTTTTTGATTACTTTACCTCCCGTAAAAAGTAAACGCATACTTTGCTCTAGCAAATGACTGGGCAAAATCTGGTTTTCGGTAGAGTTCGGAGATAACAAAATTTGTTGTGGCTAGCCCCACTGCACAGATACCACCCGTACACGCGCGATTCTGCCTTTTTATGCCTATGAATATGTGTACCAAATTTGCTTCCAATCGGTTCAATCGGAAATGAGAGTGTGACGCACTTGCGCATGCGCGATCTGCCCAAAAGCTTTTCCTGTTATGTGTAAAGCGGCCTACTCACTACCTATGTGTTGATGCGTTCATTCGTCGGAATGATTCATGAATTTACGTGGCTATGCATCATGATTTTTTGTCGTCTTGCAGGGAGAAACAAAACCGTAGGCATGTTTCCCCTTAAGCAGCGAGTATTGATTAGTTAAAATAAACAAATCTGTAAACTTTCAAACATGTACCTACTGATCACATTTGCTATTTCCTTGAGAATAATAATAAATATCGCTTCATAATATTCATTTCGTGAATGTGAGTACATGCCTTAACAAAATTGTGCTTGCATAATTTCTTAACATCGATTTATAATTCACGAGATTAAAATTATTAAGTTCTTTCCTTCCTTAAGTAAATTGCTAGCAGAAAAGTTGATGTGAAAGTCAATATTACTGGAGAGTTCAAAGTTTCATACATGTTGAAGTTGAAACTAGAAACAAATACTCATATTGTTACATTTATTCCGATAAGTTGAGGTTTTAGAAAGTCGCGCAAAAGCTTCATTGTAAGCATACCTACGTTTTACGGAGGTAACAAGTTTAAATCATGGCTTATTTATTTTGGACGTGTCCGAGACCATCGCTGACCGGAAACAAACTACGCGCATTTAAACCTCATAAAAGAACCTTATTACTACTTTTTAATACGTTTCACAACTTTACGGCAAAATAGGGGATAGTTGTTATTGGTCTATAAAACCCATTGCTGAAAGAAGTACGTTTAAAACCAAGTAAAGGCATGAATCGCCCTAAAGTTATTTGTATTCCGCTCCAGAATTTGCTGTTATAGTCACAAACAATTTCGAATCAATTTGTAATGTGCTACGTGTTATATTGTCTTTTTCGCATTATTTTGAAGATGTCCAGACAAATATATCTTTATACTCGGCTCTAAGAAAAGCGATTATAAGACCCCTACTAGGGATGGTATAAGCTTAATATGAGTTTATTTATTGCTGAGAAGTAGATCCACCGACTAGCTAGGAAGCATCGAAGGTTTAACGAAGAATTATTTTTGTTTTACGGTCCCTCTATTAAACCTATATATTTTTATTACGATCAATCGTTGAAATTTGCAGCTTTCCAGATCCCTTCAATATTTGTTCAAATAGAGTTTACCTCGTTTTGGTAGTAGCCGAGTGATCATGCGTCGGGTCATAATGTATAAAAATGAATCCCTATTTCCCTTGGTTACGCCATAACTTTTACCGATTTCATTCATCTTTTCGTTGGAGTTGTAGGTATGCATTTGTATAAGGTGTTACCAGTGGTAATAGACACACCACACCGATTGGGATCCGAATCGATTTCACGAGCTTTGACGGTAGCCCTGCATGATCAAAATGCGTTCAACAATCGGAAGAACTTCACCTCTAGTGAGGAAGGTATTGCGTAGGAATTCAGGGAAAAGTATTTCGTTGAGACACCCGCAACTACGGAATGGGACATTTCATTGCCGCCATTTCTAGACCGCCACTTCATTGCCGTGTCAACTCTTTGCAGACCCATCTCATTACCGATCCAACTCATAGCCAGTACGAATTGGTTATAGAATGAAATTTGAGACCGGTCCTGTTTTAGGTGAAGGCACCTAATCTTAGGTAAAGAATCCAATAATTGGTTTCCGCGGTAAATTCGCGTTTATTGTTTACAAACACAAGCATTACGTACCTAGGTATGTGTTTGTGTTTTCCAATAAATCTCAATTCGGATACTCAGGATTAACTTTATTTGAAACTTAAAACGAATTCTTTACAACGTTCATCAAAGTGTGTCTAAAAATAGCTAATAATCTAATGGCGATCAACTTAAAAGTAACTAACTTCGTGTAGCTTACAAAACTACAACGTTGCCAAATTAACTAAATTACGATATCAAACAGTATGCTTTTGTGATAAGAAAGATTATTATAATGTAAAGTACAATTTCAAAGGAAAATCATCAATATAACTAGAATAACTAGAATAGTTCTTGTCTAGGTTCTTGTTTTCCTTTGAAATTGTACTTTACATTATAATAATGAAAGTCATTAAGTGTAGGTACCTGTTACCATTGTATTAGGTGTACATTCAAGTTAAGAGGGT